CACCATTTTAAGATTTTTGGAGGGCAGTTATTCAGAGGGTCACTTAACAAGACTACAACTCCAATGAGGCTCAGCAGGATTGAGATAGGGCCCAAGAAAATAATGAGATGTGTCCTTTGTGAGGAATGGTAGTGTGAGGTGCTGAATTTCAAGCCCCTTTGGGGATAACCTGAGGGAGATTGAGAGGAAGGATGCTTCAAAATGGTCCACAAAAAAGCTGGAGTCCCCCTGTACAGTGAATATATCCTAATAAAAAATTAATTTTAAAAATCTGGAAACTGTTCCTGGAAGGTCAGATGCAAGAGAAGGCAGCAATTGCGATGTGGCAGGAAGCTTGTTGGAGAGGCAACTATTACAATGGAAAAGGCAAATTTCTTTCATGAATGGAGCATCAAACTAAAGTGAACAGATACCTGTAAGTCAAAAGTACAGTACAGGGACATGTGGAGATCCCAATTTGTGTAAGAAAACAACATGGATGAAGTAGAGATTAACTCATGTGAGTCTTGCCAAAGATGATTCTGACACAAATCTTATGACCTTAATGAAGAAAGAATGGGAATTTACGTTACCACCCTCAAGAGTTCACCAAAGGACATGATCTGGTAGACAAGAAGGGTGGTGACTCAGTAACCCAATGGAGCAGCCAGGACTGAAAGCTGAGAAATGTAAGTCTTATCCTTCAAAAACCCAGGTCAAATCTGTTGGTATCAAAATCCCCACTGCTAAAGTCACCCTTAGAGAAGCCTTCCTGGCATCACAAGAAGAATCCTATAGAACCAAGAGCTGACTCGGGCCTTTACCCATGCTCCTGCAATGTTAGCAGCAAAGGTGGTAGATGGTAACATCTGGAGAATTTACTGATCTGGTCCCTAAGAAACATACTATAATGAAGTAGAGGTTTAAATCCTGGCCAGAGAGGCACTTTGCCACTATCAGCTTGACCTTCATTGAAGAATAGAGAGAATGGGGCTATGCATGGAAGGCTGAGGCATCCCTGCCTCTGACAAAGAGCAGATGTGGCAAGGCCGGCAGTGGTACTACTTTGAAGGTATCATCTAGACCTTTAGCTATGGCACATACTTGTTTTAGGGCCAGCAGCAGGGGTTCCAGCCTGCTGGCACTTCCATTCAACCCTCTCTTTATTGGGGCTTATGACTCACAGGATTGCACCATCACACCACCAACTTGGGGCCGGGTCCCCTTCCTTCCACAAACTCCTTGAGTTTGTGTGTTTGCTACTAAGATCAGAGGATGATTTAATCTTTATGTTTACATATATTATAATTAAAAAAAAAAGATTCTATGTTGGCCTTTTAGAATGTAGCTTTGATGTTCAAACAGAACTGTCAACTGTCTCAAAGGGGATTTCCTTTTGGTTATAAGACTGGAAAATCTACCTAAAAATCATTAACCTGTAATTTTATAACTGTTTGTTTATAAATTTCAAAACTGTGGAATTACAATTTGACCATTAATGTACATCTGTAATGTGATTGTTTCTAATTTTCATTGTGTGAAATTAATCAGAAATACAGAAATAAACTAGAAAAGGATGCTTTGATTTTTGCCTCTGAATACAGCAACACAAAAGAGCTCATAGATTGTTTATTTTTTAAAGGGTCTCAAACTGTAGCCCAAGGCTGACCTTAAACTTGAGATCATCCTGCTTCAAGCTGGGATTACATGTATGTGCCATCATACCTGGCTCACCCTTATGTTTTACCAGACCAAGAAAAAACACAGAAAATTCTAAATTAATCTAATGTCAACATTAGAAGTAATTACAAATGTTTCTTTGTAGAAATTCTTCATTTCTCAATCACAAACATTGTTCAGAAAATATTTCTCTGCATCACAAGCCAGTAAATGCATTACTTGATAAGACTCTAAACTTATTTCTTCCCATTTTAGTTCCAAATGTCATTATGGAATTGAAATAATTCTTTTTAAGAATGAATCTGATTTGTTTAATTGGTTAACTAAATCAGCACATAACAATCAATACCCTCACTAACATGTCATATTAATAGGTATAAACAAGTCAATCTTAATGAGTTTTAAAAATTAATTTCCTGATATTTTATTATGGTCAAGTGACATTATAACCCACAAATTAGACAAGTCTTCTATGATACAAATGAGGAAGGTGAGCTCCTGAGATGAGGTGACCCGAATTGCTAAGGTCATTATGTAAACTGCAGACATAAATTCAATCATAATTGACCAACTTCCTATTAAATGTATTACTGCAGCAAATGTGCAATCAGCATAATCTTCACCAATTTAAGCTATGAAAAGATGCATATTTTACAGGAAAAATGTTTTCAAAAAAGATTTGAAGATGAGCTTAATATCAAGTTGATAACTCAAGTAAACACATAAGCTACATCTAAAACAGCAACATAGTAAACAGATGTAAATAATTTATTTATAAATTTATTAGTAAGACAAGCTGATTAAAATTCATTTCTGCTGTGAAAATCAGCAAGTTTCAAATCTCATAAATTTTACTCTGAGTCAAATAGAAAAATTACTGTCAGCAGAAAATGTGAGGAGGAATAACTACATACGGCATTAACTGGAATGAAGGTAATATATTCTGCCGTTTCAAAATAACATAAGAAAGATAAAAACAAAAAGCCAAAAAAAAAAGCACAATTCTACTTTAACAGATACATTCATTAAATGTATTTCTATCCCGGCTGGCAAAAAGTGTTTTTGCCAGTTTATTTTTTATTCAGACTGTATGAAAATTGCAAACAATTTGGAAATGTATAAATAAATTACCCACAATTTTACCACAATTGTTAGGCTGGAGAGGCGACTTAAAGAGGTAGAGCAGCACTTGCCTAGCAAGCACAAAGGCCTGAGTTCAATTCCCAGTACCTCAAAAAAAAGAAAGAAAGAAAAAAGACAAGTGATAACAGCATTTATTATTCCTTCCAGTCTTCCTCCTAAGGTTTCTTAGTACAAACTCCACCTTGTTACTCAGCATTACAACATGTGAACATTCTCATCACTAAAAATTCTGTAAGTGTTTTAAAGCACTGCTTCTCATTTTTAAATGAGACTTCAGTTATGTCAGGGAACCCTGAAGCAATCTGTTAGGTAAGTAAAACTGGCTTAAAAGGAATTACACTGCAGATTGTACTAGAGTCCTTTTGATTAGAAATACATTTTTTAAAAAATTAAGGAATTTGCATTCCACATAAGTCTTGAATTTTGAGGTGATTTTGTTTTTACCTACACTAGCCCTTAATTTACCAACTTAGTAACAATTAATGATAATAATTTATAAGTATATTATGCTTTTCTCTTTGCAAAACTCCTGCATATTATCATTTCATTTTATTTTCATTAGAAAGCTGAACAACAGAGAGATTAAATAACGAAATAAAATTTAACCAATCAATTTAAAAGAACCAGAAATCAAGCTTTTTAATTATTGGTATCATATCTATTTGTGATAATCTATATTGAAGACTATGTCTGTGAAAGAAACATTTGTTAAAATGCTCTGGTAAAAATGATATAAAACCATTTAAAAAATTAGATAATATTCATGTTTGATTAGTCTAGGCATGAGAAATTTCAAGAGCAAAGCTTTTGGGGGAAAAAGACATAAAACTAGCTCTAGATATAAAAAAATGAGGTAAACACTTTCAGATTGAGAAGCAAAGCAGAGGCAGAAGACTGCTTATGGAATCATATACTATGTAATCATATATATCTTATTTTCTGTGTCTCGGTTTCCTTATGTTGCAAGTAGGAAAACCACCCCTGTCTCGCTTGTGACAAGAACCAAGTGAATTAATATTCATAAACCACTTAGTCCTGTGCCTTCCACAAAGTAGGCTCTGATAAATATTACTCATGTATAAACCTGCTCTCCATTAGGAAGGAAATGCATGGGTAGACTCCAAAACTTCATCCAGAGGATTTCACACTCTAATATATTAAGTGCTGATGAAACCTTAACACTAAGCATGTAGATCTTAAGTTACACTGTGTAGAAATGTGCCTGTTATCTAAAGAGCTTGGTCCCCAAATACATATTTTCCTTAGAAAATACACCTCCATGGGCCTGTCAAAGTTTCGGTAATTTCTCTCTCTCAACCCTGATTCCATACTTTACTGAAAATCACGAGAGCCATACTACGCTGAACTTAAATGTGGATATCAATTTAAAAATATCTTCACAACAAAAGTAACAATCCAGTCCTTATCCTCCTCGCTGCAATAAACAGGGAAAAGCAATGGGAAAATGCGTTCAATAATAAATGCCAAATTGATTTTAAAAGTGTAGTATGCTGTCTCAAAATACTACTAAAAAATCAGTCCTGCATTGCTTCCATTATGATGACTATTCAATAACCAGTTTTGCTCTCTTGCTCTCTTATGGAACAGGTTTTTTAAGGATTGTAGATGGGAAAAAAAGTTTTGTCACTTTCTAAAAAGGCTTAGCTTTTTAATGTGGAATGCTCCGTTTGAGCAACAATTGCATGTCGCCTTTGGTTAGACACAGCGTTTGATCAAGATGATCCATAAACCACTGTCCCCGGTGACAGGCAGGAATTGTAAAGAACACGTCCCGATCCGAAGACTCAAAATATCACCACAATCTATTTCATTCCCTTTAGAGCCTGAGCGCTCTCATTACTTTAAGATGCTATTTAATTTCCTTGCCTACCTACTCCGTCCGTCAGTCCACGTAGCTCAGCTCTCGGGCACAGCCTCCTCCAAAAGTTCTCCCCTCCGCCCCCATTTCTCACCGGAAGGATCCACCGCCCACGAGGCTTCCATGGCAAGGTCTGCAGTCCCTCTTCCTAGAGCAGTGAGCTGACTTGAGGAAACGCAGGGAGCCACCTTTGCAACTCAGCCTGGCGAGTGCGCACTAGGTCGGGCCACGCGCGAGCCGCACCGCGCCTCCCCGCGTCTGCAGATGCGTTCGCTGACCAGAACACCCGCGGCCCGGCGACCCTCCGGGGACCACTCACCTTGCTGGGCTCCAGCGTCCTCCAGCAGCAGGAGCAGAACAAGTAAGAGCAGGAGGGACAGAGGCATGGAGGAGGAGGAGGAGAAGGAGGAGTTGGAACCGGGAGGGAGGGAACAGAAGAGGGGGAGCGCGGCTCGGGCGGGGGCGGCGGCCGCGGCCCGGACTCGGGGACACTGCGGGCTGCGCCTGGCTCTCACCACCGCCCGACTCGCCATCGCGGCGGCCAGCAGTCCGCCTGCATAGTGCGAGCGCCCTGGAGTCCCCCGCGCCCCAGAGCCGCAGAACCCGGCGAAGAGGCTGCGGCTGCGGTGGAAGAGCAAAAGGCAGCGCGCGCCTCGCCTCGCGCCGGGACCCCTCCGCCCCTCACCCCGCTTTCACCTCCTCCTCCTTCGTCCCTTCCCTCCGCTCCCCGCCCCGAGACCCCAGGCTGGAAGGCAGGGGAGGGGAGGGAAGGAAGCGGGATGCTCGGGCCGCGGAGCTGGGGGACGCGCCTAAACACCGCGCTCTTCACCAAGACCCGGGTTCGCTCGCCGCGCTCGCCCCGCGGCTATGGCTTAGCTGGCAGGCAGGCCTGCGGCCCGCAGGCTCGCGCTCCCTCTCGCGCGCGCCGGCCACGCCTCCTCTGCCCGCTATGGCCAATCCACGGTCAGCTCCGGTCCGTCTCTTTCCGCATCACCCAATCAGCACGCTCTCTCCTCGGCCGACCCGTTAGCTCCCCAGCCCACTCCTCGAGCTCTACCGCCCCTTCTCTGCCTCTTCCAATCGTCTTCGGCCTTTGGAAGCGTCCCACCCGCCTCCCCCAATCCAGATTCCGCCCCCAAATTCCCGTCCCGCCCGAACGCCTGTTATTGTTGGGACCGCAGCCCAGAGTGATCCCACTGTGGCGACCGCTGGCTCCGGTCAATGACTTCCGGGAGTTCCCGCAACCCGCTTTCTCCCGGCTCTCAGGCCCTGCTGGTTCATTGCTCCTCCCCCGCCTACATCAGGCCACTGGAAGGGGTGGGAGACCTGGGTCCTGGAAGGTCGGTCTTAGAACGGAACTGAGTCTCAGGGACATTTTTGTCCTTTAAATAGCACAATGTGTTTTTCTAAGTTAAAACTACAACCAATGATTGCAGCACCTGCGAGTTGCAAGTACAGATTCAGTGTTCAACGTTTTAAAATATGTATTTTCCGTTTCTTATGCCCTTTACTACAGCGGGAGGCGGGGGGCGAAGATTGTCAAGGAAAAAAAAATATATGTATATATAAAACAAGATTCATGTCGCCAAGACTATTTAATCCAAACAACTGAGCCTTTACCTGTCCATTCTGCAGGGTTGTGGAGCACCTGCTGTGTATCTGAGGATCCCAGGAGCTGCACCCATAATTCAGAAATCTTGGAGGATTTAGAGTGGGAGAGAGATGAGAATACATCTTTCAAGTCAATGAAAGAAGTGCAAATTAGCGTCACAAGTAATTTGGTGGAGACTGTGTGCAGATAAAACAAGAAACAGAACCTCTTTGGGAAAGAAAAATCCACAGGACTAGACAGTGATTGATTTTAGAAGAAGAGAGGTTCCATCTGAAATGTTTTTAATAGGGATGCTGTAAGAGGAGCGTGGTGTCATTAGTGAATACAGAAAATTAGAAAGGTGGAACGTGTTGTGTGGGAAAGGAGGTTACTTTGGTGCATATGGATAGTCCTGATTTATGGTAGTTCATCTTACACGGTTCAACACATGATTTTTTTTCACTTCACAATGAGGCCAAAGTGATACAAACTGCACTTCTGAATTTTTGGATTTAATCTTTTACTGGACTACCAACAGCAGGCATTGTGACACTTTTCTTGATGCTTAATAAGCCATACCTCTTAGCTGCAAGTTCACAAGAATAACCAATTGATCCCCTACAATGTACTCTGTTAGTGAGTTATGATGCTTGGTACCTTAAGTGTATAAATAAACTTTCCACTTAAGATATTTTCCATTTATGATGAGTGTATCAGATGTCACCCCATCATAAGTTGAGGAGCACCTGTATTGAAGTTGAGATGTCATCTCAGCTAATGAGTGAGGCTATATAACAGGCAAGAGGACATTTTTATCTAAAGGTCAAGTTGAAAAGTGCTTTGAAATTATGAGTCTGTGAGTCATGAATACATGTGATATTCAAAAACATGGAAGAGACTGATGTCCTTACATGAAAATCAGTGTCAGAGGTCATCTTTTTCAACTCTTGCCTATTTCTCACACAATAAGCCTCCCCACCAAGTTTATTCAGTAAGAATTTATTGGAAACCTAAGCAACCTCTACTGTGCTTTGGGCCTAATGTAGGCATTGATCACACAAAGTTCAATCAGATAGCGTACATTCTGGTGGAGGCAAACATGTAAGCATTGTTATCAGTGCCAAATTCAAGGTATGAGCTGGTATAATATTACCACAATGGAAAGGTTTCCATTCTAGGCCTTATGAAATCCCAGCTGAGTCTTGAGTAAGGTAACAAAGTGAGAAGTGATCTCAGACCAGAGACAAATTAGACTGGATAATAGATGCAGCAGTGAGTAGTGTAGATGGAACTGAGTTGACAATGAGGACTTCATCAGAAAAAGAGAAGATTAGTCTGGAAAAGTTTGTAGGGGCAAGACCAGGGCTAAGAGTCAGGATTTCATTTTGTAACATTGAAAATAACTGAAGGTTTCTAAGAAAGTGCCATCACCAGATTTTTATTATTGTAACTCAATCAGACAGGAACATGAGGAATGGTTTGCAGTAAAAGCAAGACTGGAAGCCAGGGAGAGCTTGTTTGGAGTTAAAGGGAGTGGTGATGAGTCTGAACTTCTTTAGCTGTGGTCTTGGAAAGGAAGACTGACTAGTGTACTATTTGTGAACTTATTGATGGATCAGATATGGGAAGTAAGAAGAAGTCCAGGAAGATCATCATTTCTAGCTTTAGTATTGAACATTTCCAACATGATTTATTAGTGTAACAAGTATCAGTTGTGACCAAAGTCTTCTAGTAATAGACAATATCTGAAACACCCCATCTCATTTGTTTGACTGCTCCTTCCCTGAGTCCCGTGAGTCATAACTTTGAAGTCACAAAGGTGGAGGCAGCAAGTTATTGTGAACCTTAGGCTAGCATTCTATCAATGACATAGAGTTGAAGCAGAAGGAAAGAATTCAATTGTGAACAGTACAATTTGGAAACCTTTCTGGAAAAGGTAAAACCTGAGCCATGGCCATCTACTTACTACCCCTCGCAATACATGTCAGAAGATCCCCTACCCCTTGTTAATACCCTAAAGTAAGAGGAAGGAGCCCTTACATTTTCTCATCTGCATTTAGTATTTTTAAAGAATTATTAAGGTGGCGACAAGGTTCTGGAGGTCAAGAGAGGGAAAGAAAGAGGGAGATAGAAGCAAACTAGTTTTTTAAAACAATGAAATCAAAATGTCTTAGAGATGGAGTCCATTTGTCTATTTCTGTATTGTTTTATTCTTCAGCTTCCTGAGTTTTGTTTTGAAAATACAAGGTCTGGAACTTTCACTAAAGAACAGCCATGGAGCCCTTTACAGGTTTACATACATAGAGAAATATAGATATAGCACAGATATAGGAGACAGTGATGCTGTTGCTGCTTCTGTTGTCTCTCTACTCCTCCTGATCATTGTCAGTCACTCTACTGAGCTGCAAAAACAATGATAGAAGTCTGACTGAGATGACCAAAATTTTCTCATGGACCCTCACACCAAAGGAATATAACAGGCATTCATTTCTAGGACAGTGATTAGCAGAGTGAAATTCTAACTTACATTATTACACCTCTCGTTCTCTGTGCTTCTCCAGCCAACTGTATCATCTTTCTTGTCTCTGGGTCTTGGTTTATTTGGAGGTCAACATCTGCTGAGGTAGTGGGGATAATACTTGCCCAAATTATTTCACCCACAGGACCCAGGTATATAAGGCTGGCAGAACTGACAATTCTAATCAGGACTGACAGTAGATAACTTTGAAAGCCACCATCACAGCCAGAGGCCCCAGGAAATTAACTGCCTCCACAAGGCAAGCCCAGGTTCTGGCTCCTTCCTACAGAATCTTATTCCGTGTTAAGATCCTCAACCTAAATTTTAATCCACTGACCTTCCCGTTTTTGTCTTCTCCATCTTTTTCATTCTTTCTTTTTGCTTTCTTTTTTAATCAATAGAATGAAAGTATAGAGAAAATGGACTTGATCTATAGAGAAAAACAGAAATATGAAAAGTTGTGTCCCACAATTTTTGCTTTAAATGAATCCCAGCTCAGCCAACTGCTGAGAAAATGAAAATGGAGGAAAAGCCCCTGAGGGCTGGTGCCTATGCTTCTGTGCATAAAGAGACATCTGGGTTTTAATAGTATAATATGGTAAGAATCATTTGGCACCATCATTGCTATTAAATGTCTGTTAAGCATTAATAAAACAGAAGAGGCTCATTTCAAATGGCATTTATATAGAAACCTTAGGATGATGGTATGTAATGAATCATTGGTGGGCTTTATCAGTGAGTGTGTGTTTTTGGCAGGATAACAGAAAGACAAGAATGACAAAGATTTACTTTGTGATCTTCTAGTGGGGTTGGAGAAAAAGAAGACTGGCAGTTCTGGGGAAATATTTTAAACTTCAAAGACCAGAGTCCTTAGATCTGGTTACTGTTCTCACAGGAGCATTTTCTTTGTCATGTTGACTGCTGGAATAAATGTTTATAGCCACATTTTTTGCTAAATGTCTGAATTCTGCTGAAGAGACTGTCTTCTCTCCTGTGAACAGAAGTGGCTTGGATACCACTTTTTTTTTTTTTAATGTTGTAAGCATCTTTTAGTTCATCACTTCAGTCAAATCTCTCAGGTCCATTACTCATGTTTTCTTGACATTTGTCTACTATTGAAAGGTATTTGTTAGAGAAAATTTAAGGCATGAGCACTTAGAAACCCAATTTGTCTTAGAAGGTATTTAATTTATTTCTTTTCTTTTTCTTTTGGCAGTACTGGGGCTTGAACTCAGGGCCTCATGCTTGTTTAGCAAGCACTCTATCACTTGAGCCACTCTACCAGCTCTAGAAGATATGTAATTTCTGAGTGGATAATAAGCTAAATATTTTTCTTGAAAGATCAACATTGGTATATGTCAATAACTACTTCAGTCATTATTTATTTGTATCTTCATGTACTGCAACCATTTCTCTTTCTTCTTCTCTGTCCCCCTCCCCAGTCTCTCACACACACTTCATTTTCCAGGAGCATAAGAAATTTAGGGCTGGGTATATAGCTCAGTGGTAGTGCTGGCCTAGCATGCATAGGCTCTGGGTTAAATCCCCAGTATCAAAAACAAAACAAAACAAAAACCAATTAACCTATTCATTCCCTTGTAGATCAGAACAAAAAGTCTTCAGACTAGTGTTTTGTATCTCATGGAGGATTCAAAGGATTTTAGTAAAAGCATGTAAAACTTGCCTTCTATAACCTCCATGTCATGCATAGAAATTAGAGAATTAATTATACATGAATATATAACATAACTCTAAAATATGTAGAGCAA